TCATGATGGAAACGTTGATACTATTGTGTATGATTCAACATATTTTTTATCATTAGCAGTAAATAATATTTTGTTACTAAACACAGTATTGCTATATTTCACTTTAACTGTATCGCCAACTAAACTTTTACCTTTATATGTTTTCAGGTTCAAGATATCTTTCCATATGCAAAATGATTTTTAAAACCGATCTTCAGAGAAGCTTTTCTAAGACATTTTTGAAAAACTAGGTCACATCATAAATAGTTTAAAGGCAAATCTGTTGATTGTTTCATCAGTCCAAAATGTTCTCTTCAAAATGAGAGCGAACCAATTCGGTAGTTTGAGCACGGATTGCATCAGTCCCACGATCACTATCCCATGACCTAGGATAACCTTGAAATCGCATGGGACATATGTCACTGGTCATGCTCAATCTAGTAGTATATTGGTGCATATGTTTTTGCAAAAATCATTCGGACAAAAATATAAGTTTTTTCTAATTCCATAACCACTTGATAACGATTTGATAAAACTCAAACTGGTTGAATACACCCCTTCTTTCTCAAAAGAATACTTTTTTCTGTGAATGAATAACGTTTTGATCACAAAATGATCTTCAACTGACTTTTTTTCAACCAACACTAAGTAAGTAAGAACACAACACTAAAATTTTACGTCACTCTTTTATCGAATTTGCTTTCTTTTTTATTTCAAGGTCACTTGTTAATTAACCTTTCTCCATCAATATTAATCTACCCATTTCCTTTTTCTTCTTGAAAAGGTTTTACTCCTCTCTGAACAAGAAGAATGCTGCTTAACTACAATGAATTATCTTTGTTAAATAAACTGAAGTAAAGTATTTAATGTTTTCTGTCCGATCCTTATTTGTAAAGATTTGTGTCTTCAGCATACAAATTTTTCTTCAGTATAGAAATATAATTAATTTCTTTTTAAAAGACTTTCACTTCATTGAAAATTCTTTCTCCTCTTTATCCTGTTTATATATTATTAATAAACGGTGTAATAGGAACACTACGAACAAGGTTCTATGGTGAAAAATGAAAAGTTTCCATCATGCATGATGTCTCTCCACATTAGCAAATAGCTTTAGTCATAAAATTAAATTTTTATCAAAATGCTATAGAAATGGTGATATAACGTCAGCAGAAGAAAAGCTGAGAATTATTTCATTCATTTTTTTATCATCATGTCGTCATTGTCAACAGTACAGTTGTTAACGTTTCTTTCACAACAAATCAACATTTACGGAGGTCTTCTTTTATATTTCACCGGTGTCATCGGAAATATTCTGAATATAAGCGTGTTCTTTCAAACAAAGTTTCGCTCAAGCTCTTGCTCATGGTATCTCGGAGCATATTCAATCGTCAATATTCTGCTTCTACACGTCATGATTATAAGTCGGATTTTGAGTAATGGATTTGTAGTCGATGTTAAAAACTCATCCTTAGTATGGTGTAAACTACAAGTATATTTACTTCAAACATTGGGTTTAATATCCTTAACATTCACATTATTCGCTACCATTAATCGCTACTTTGCTTCATGCAGAAATGCCACTCTGAAACAATTTTGCTCGAATCTCATCACTCGCCGAGTCATACTTGTCAGTACTGTGTGTCATCTTCTAATCTCGTTACCACTACTGCAATTTTACAATTTACAACGTACAGAATCAGTATCTACGTGTGTCAATTCATCACAAGCGTATCTTAACTATATTTCTTATTTTATTAACATTTTTGCATTTGGCATCCTACCCCTTTTGGTCTTGATTATCTTTAACGTTTTCACCTATCTGAATGTCATACAAAACCGCAAGCTCATTGCTCCAATCCCACCGCATCATCAGCAATATCATCAGCGCCTTCGAGAGGATCAATTAAGATTTATGGTGGTTATTCATGGAGTTATCGTTCTTCTTTCAGTCATTCCATTTACACTACGAAACATTTATTCGTTAGCAACAGCTGCAGTGCCGAAAGATAGTGTGCATATAGCACAAGACTTTCTGGCTAGTCAGGTGGCATCACTTTTGTGGTATCTGCATTTTGCAGCAAGTTTTTATGTATTCATCATGTGTTCGTCTGTATTTCGAAGTGAACTGAGACAACAATTGAGAAAATATTTGTTGGGTGAACCGCAAACGCAGTGGCGAATCCCGCGCCCCTTACGGACAATAACGCATTGATGACAATTCTTATCCCTGTTATATTTATTCTAGCAAAATAAATACGCGTCACGAAAAACAGTTGACAGATGGTGAATGAGGAAGAGAAGAAATATGCTATAGATACCCAATTCCAGCACTTATTACAAATAACACCTTGCAATGCGTATCAAATATATTTTTGTCTATTGAAGATTCTTGTTTTTTTACTGGACCAGGTAGAGAATATCTTTTCTCTCCGAAGTGGAAAACGTTGAACATTCTTTTGCTTATCTTCACAACAAATGTAGTAAAAATAAGCTACATAAAGGACTGATGTAGCTGATTCCGGTCTTTACCTACAAAAATGATTGGAAATAAATTGTTCACTGGATTATTGGCAATTATTTTCGACAGAGGGACAGCACTTGTTAATGGTAGATCTATCTCATTTCTTAGTAGCAGCGTTTGTGGAACACATCCCAAACTTGCTCCTACAAATAATATTTACTGCAACTTAGCTAAAGTGGAATGAAACTGGAAGTTTCAGCAGGAGGCACATGCAAATATGACTAAAATCTACGTAATTATTTATCTTTCAACATCAAAATGAATTTTTTGATCAAGTTTAACGTGACAAAAAGTCGTAACAGAAGCTGCTACTTTTAATCTGAATCTCGTTCAAATGCCAGCGAAATTTGCGGCGATGGCCAGCATTCGGTACCACTAAACAACGTCGCAGATCGTTACCTCCACCACTTATTGTAGTAAATATTATTTGTTGGAGCAGGTTTGGGATATGTTACAGTTGCGCAAAAAGCAAAGTGTGGTTAAAATTGCTCTTGATTATAACGATGATTTTTATATTGATTAAACATTGTCGAGTTTTAAACCACAATGGTTAAATAATAACAGAAATGAATTCAGTGCACACTTGACAGTCAGACTCCATGAGCAACCACCATCGGATTCTTTATTTTTTGTCGTACTAAATTTGTACTACAGATAAATTTATTTCGATCCACTGGAATCTTTTTCATGGCGTATTTGCTTTAATTTTTGCCTTTCTGCATCGAATTAGCTTATGCAACTTTCGACGAGGAATGGTTTTTATGATTTTCGAATTTTATCGACTTTCTTCGTTTACGCTTATCATTTTCGGTTGATAAGCGAAACTTCAGCTGTATGATGTTTCCATCGATGAGATATAGAGATCACAAGTGGTCAAAATGAAGTTAGTTTCCCCGTCTTGCAAAAATGGAAAATTTATCCCATCGAGCTGAAATTTTTTTGCGAATGCTAGGTGCAAATCGGGGTATCGCAATTTTGTGTTTTATTTTTCCAGATGCTTTCTCTCAGTTGAAAAAAATAAATACAAAAAAGCTAATACAAAGTGACCCTTTTCATTCGCTGAACTAATCTAAAACCTTCAAAAATCACGGAAAGATCGAAAAAATAATCGACTCTCACAGCAGGTGGAGAAAAACTCTTCCACGCATGTTGTACAAGTCTTTTGTATGCAACTGTTGACCGACCTATCATTCAGATTTTTTCTGTCGACTATACCAGACGACAAAAATCTCTCTCAAAAGTGCATGAAAACTTGCATAGAACTAATGTATAACAATACGCATCACTAAGTCCTCTTCCACTAAATAATTTTGATCTGATACTAAAACTAACGCTGTTAATATGTATGGAGAAGTTTAACTTCTAGATTTATATTAACAAGCTTTCATTGGTACCAAAACTGTACCAGAAGCTCATTAGTGTCAACTAACAGAGTGACTCAAAGTGAAGAACGTTATCTGTTTTTCTAGTAATAATCGAGAGGTTGAGAACCGTGGATAAATATTGAATCATGATTACACACAGATACAGAACTTACATTGCAGGAAACAGCTAAATTCTTATTAATACACAAATTATATTTCAATCGCCTTTGATAGAATAACTTTGAATTCCACATGTCTTTACACTTCATCATTACAAAAAATGTATCATTCTGCTCGATTATAATGATAACACTCTTCACCTTCCGTCTTTTTTAGCAGTAAAAACACAAATCTTTGCATGTGGTTGTGCAATAATGAAAACGTGAACTCTGTTTCTTTTTACATCAAATGAATTCATGCTTTTACATTTGACAAACGAAATAGAAAACTAGGTATGTCGATGAAACAATTTTACAAAATACTAATAACGGGACTAATAGTGGCAGTATTGCGCGATCTTATAACCGTTGAAAGTAATCCCTGATTTACAACTGAATATATTTCAAGATAAAAACTGAGATGGATTATTTCTCGACTAATGACTGTGATCATTTACACCACTAGCATCATGAAAGCTTTCGCTTTTCAAGAACGGGGGCTTACTGTGGCATGAATTAGTCTTAAGATATGTACTAGAACTTCGTAAATGTAAAAAGAATTAATATGGTTTGTATCTCTCTTGGCACAATTCATCAGAAATATTGCTTACTTGTCTATAAGAAATATCATATTTTTAGAACTTTTAGCTCATTGAGAAAATATGAAAGAAATTTATATCACACGCAGGGGTTGAGTCTAAGACATCAATTAATGACATATGCTGTTCAGAGGAAAATGATACATTTGTTTTGGGAGAAACGTTTTTGCTGTCCGTCAAAATCAAATAATGTCGGTGTTGTCTCGGATTCAGATCATTATATTCTGTCATTTATTTTCTAACCACATAGTTAAAGACACTCACATCTCATATGCATTTCGTCATTCTACATAGAAAGAACCATTCTACTTTTTCTGCATCGTTTTTTACACTATGCAATTATTATATCATTTCTACAGCTTTGTTTAGTTGTGACATAATGGCTGATGATAGGAACTCTATTTGTAAAGAGCGTGTTCAGAGTTCAATTGAGGAGGAATATTTATGTCCATTGTGCTATAATTTATTATTAAAACCAGTTGAATGTAATAATTGTCAACGTGTATTCTGTAAACAATGTATTGATAAATGTTTAAAAGCGAAGCCAAATCTTTGCCCATTTTGTGAGAATTATCAAGAGAAACGTTGTTCACCAATGTTTTATGCTTTATTATGCAAATTAAAGATTGAATGTATCAATAAACCGAATGGCTGCGATCAAGTTCTTTTGTATGAATTAATAGAAGAACATGAAACAAATAAGTGTTTAGATCAAATGAAACAATGTCGTGGATGCTTGAAAAATATTCTTAAAAGGGATTTAGATCAACATGAAGCCACGTGTGATCAAATTGAAATCCAATGTGTAAAATGTTCACTTATTCGCAAACAAAACAGTAAACATGATCAGTTTGATTGTTTATCGAATAAACAAGTATTACTAGAGCAAAAAATTCAACAAAACGAAGAACAAAATAAAACACTGATTAACAAAATACAAATGGCAGTGAAACAGTTGGAAATACATAATATTGAAAATCAACAAAAAATTAAACAGCTGGAAATAGCTAATGCAGAAAGTCAGGAAATGATAAAATGTTTAAAAAATGAACTACAGTGGAATGATAAATTCAGTAAAAGTGATTTTATCGACGAACTGAAAAAACAAATATCATTATCATTATTGATAGAACCTTTTCATGGTGATATCAAGACCAATATTCCTCTTGCTCTTCTTCCTCAATGGCATATTATCTATGATCAACTTTACAGTCATAAGACAACAATCAACGAATTCCACGCATTATTACCAAAATGTTCAGTGAATATTATTGTTGGTGCAATTTCAAAAAATTCACCAACCGTTTTATCTTTGGCTGCATGTGGACCAAAAGATATTTTGAGTTTGAATACACTATTAAACCAACCGTTCAAACACGATAATGTTTATTGGTATTTAACACCGACGAAATCATTTGGATTTTCACCAACATCAGTTATAAAACAAGAGAGTCCAGATATAGTATCAGATCAAGGGTATAAACGTTTAAGTTGGTACCTTGATAGTTATGGTGGTTATCGAGTAGGAAATATAATTAATTTAACTACTAGTGGTGATTGGCGCAAAGTTATTCTGTCTGAAAAAGTTTAATTTAGTTCTTGATATCATGTGTTTGTGCTGACAGATTCTATTTAACGAACAAGAACGTCACGACTTCCTTCTTGAAGCGATAGTTTTGCTTCGCTCACATCCTTTTCCTGGAACCTGTTTTGAGCAATTATATGTTCTTCTGGTTCGCAAACATATCAGAACTTGTTTTCTGAAAATATTTTTTCATTTTTCTAATAAATCATTCCATTCCCTTTCATAATTTCTTCCAAACATCGAACAGAAACAGATATGAGATCACTAGGCGTGTTTCTGGGCGACGAAACATGTATGGTTGAATATATAAATAACGCACTGCATTTGACGCACTTTCTCAGGCCATACGAGTGCCACTCTCATTTTGTTTCGAAGATCATTCTTGTTTTGTCTTAGTGGTCTTATTATGAGACAAATTTAAGGAAGAAATGATTTAAACAGGTATTTTTAAATTTAATGCTTATGAAATTCCTAGTTGTTTTCGATAAAAAGTTCAGAGAGTGTAACGGTATCATTGCACAATATATTAAAGCATGAGTTTTCGTACTATGGATGTTATTTTTGGATGCCTCACATCGAGTTATGAAGGACTTTGATTCGAAGACACTTCACGCATAACTTTTAGAACAGTACAGTGAGAATTTTACGAACTTTTGAAAAAATGTCCGCAGGTAACAGCTTTTCCCCAGCGGAGTACATCAAAAATTCGTCTCTTGAATTTTATAAAGGAAGAATCGTTTTTATATACACATACTGTTATGTGGGAATTGCATAACCATTGATCATAAAACATCGAAAAGTAAAGTTGTGAGCAAGTCAAAGTGTCCGTCAAAAACATATTTTCTAAATCTGCTAAAAGTTTTAAAAGAGTGGTATTTCTCATAGACAAGCAATCAAAATTTCTGACGAAGTGTGACAAAAGACTTAAGTCATGGTTAATATTGCTACTATTCAGTTTGTCTCATCAAGACCAATGAAATAGTGTAGAATACTTATTGTTTACTATATGAATTGTATCTCTCTTGTCACAATTCGTCAGAAATTTTGATTGCTTGTCTATGAGAAATACCACTCTTTTAAAACTTTTAGCAGATTTAGAAAATATGTTTTTGACG